ACAGCCCGCACCTTTCACAACGAATGGCGCGGTGGTTGTCATTCTTTGCGGAATACAACTTTACGGTCGAGTACAAACCAGGACGACTTAATGTCGTCGCTGATGCATTCTCACGTCGTCCCGACTTTGAACCAGTCGTGAAACCCAACAGTAATGCAGCCACTGTTGCGGTTATGACGTCCTCAGTCCCATCTACAACGTTGTATGATGATGTGATGCGGGCGTATGCCCAAAGAGATTGTAGAAGTTGTTGTCACATCTCTCACAGCCATCTCGAGAATCGTTGAAACGATTGTCGTCTGCGTATCGATCTGCATCAGATCGATACACTACTCGTAACGGTTTACTGTACTATACAGCCGTTTCTGGTGACACACCACGTGTTGTCATTCCAGATGATATTGATCTGCGTTTGCGGATCATGTTCGAGTATCACGATGCTCCTATAGGAGGACATCGTGGCCGAGAGAAAACATATCTCACGGTAAGTCGAGACTTTTACTGGCCCCGCCAGTATCAGTTTGTGCGAAAGTATGTTCGCGCATGCGAAGTCTGCCAACGAGTGAAGTCAAGTCCTTCACTGCGTGCACCTTTACAGCCTCTACCGGTTCCGGCTGAGTGCTGGGAATCCATCTCAATGGATTTCGTCTTCGGGTTACCCAAAGACGCACGCGGGAATACGGGTATTCTCGTATTTGTTGACAGATTCAGCAAAATGGTACACCTTGTGGCTGTACCAGAGACAATCACGGCAAGTGGCTGTGCTTGTGTCTTTATTGACACCATCTTCCGACTTCATGGGTTGCCCCGTGAACTCGTATCAGACAGAGATCCACGATTCACTGCTGATTTCTGGCGTTCCGTGTTCAAATCACTCGGAACGCGCTTGAAGATGTCAACATCTGATCATCCAGAGTCAGATGGTCAGACGGAACGTGCCAATCGTGTCCTTGAAGAGATACTTCGAGGATACGTACACTCCTTTAAGAGTTGGAGTGAGTTTTTGCCGATGGTAGAGTTTGCCATCAACAACTCGGTGCATGCGTCCACGACCCATCCACCGTTTTTCGTGAATGGCTTGCGCCATCCGCGTGTACCCACCTTACTAGAGTGTAACTCCGGTTTAAGGGGGGGAGGGACTCGCGCGAGCAAAAACCGATTTGGTTCACGCTCATCACGCTCTGACGAAGAGGTCATTGCGTTTGATGCCGATATCGATAACATCGATATCGAAGAAGATGATGCCAGTGAGAGTGCGGAAGCCCTCACTGAAGAAACGATTGATGTTGCTGCAGTGCACTCACAGCGCACTGAAGCTAACGAGTCATCAGATGAGTTCGTACTGGATCGTGAAACGGTAGTCCGTTTTGTGCTAGACTCCATCGCCGAAGCGGTGGATAAGCAAAAGCAAAACGCTGACAAGAATGGAAGGGCAAACACTCTTTCATTTAATAAAGGTGACTTAGTCCTACTGTCTACGGTTAACCTACCAAAGCATGCAGTGACTAACTTGGGTAGCAGTAAACTACTACCCAAGTACATCGGCCCATTTCGTGTATTGCACCGCCTAGGCAATGCATACACGATCGAGTTACCACGTAAGATGTGAACGCATCCCACGTTTTACGTTGGTCGGCTAAAGCCGTACCATCAGTACGCTGCTTCTTCCGATGAAGAACGCCCTTGCGCTCAAGCATCTCACAGAGGGCCTTGTGCTCCCGATGGTGGATATCGACAAGGGTCTGAAGAGCAGTTATCTCAGCCCGAGACCGATCAACAATCCCCACGAGCTACCCTTAGCTCGTCACACAGAGACGTCAGAGCTCTCTCGTTCTCGAGCTGAGCAAAGGCAAACTCAGCTCGATGCTTCAAGACAGCGTCCTCCAGTTGGAGACGCCTATTCCGCTCATGTTCGAGATCGTCGCGTAACCCTTGCGTTACGCGATCAAAGAAGCTCTCGGGAACACACGGATCCACATGATCGTGTGGAGAGCGTCTTTCCTCCTCCTCCACCTCCATTAGAGGACTCTCGCGGTGGCCAGCGCTATCTAGTTGAGCAGCTGTTGAACCACCGCGACGTGAACGGACGTCGGACGAGTTACCTCGTCCGGTGGCGCGGCTATCCCCCGTCCTGGGATACTTGGGAGCCCCGCTCCCAACTGATGGTTGACGTTCTGGGTCTGGTTGAGCAGCACGATACGGAACATCCTGTGCCGCAGAAGGACCGCCGGAGAAAGTCTTCCCGGTACGGTCGTAAAGGGATTTCAGGTTGTCAATCCCTTCGTACATCTCAGTAGAGACTCGTACGCGCCACCACGGGCTGGTAAGGAGGTAAGCCTCCTTAGGTGCTCGTGCAGAGTTGTTCACACAACATGGGCACGAGTCTCCCCAAGAGAGGCAGGATAATCCTTTCTCCCTTGACAGAAGATGCAGCTTGCAGCGTGCACCTGTCGGGGTTCGCTTTTCAAACTTATCACGAGCTTTGATAAGTTTGTCGTTCCAAGCGTCACGACCTACATCCTCAAGGTTATGGATGTAGGCGTTCCACGCCTGAAGTAGTGAGGGACCATCACGCTTGTGATTCCCACTGTACCACCGATGCTTAAAGAAAGCATCGATGAAGAACTCATTCTCAGCGCGATAGGTTTTCGCAATGGGGTCAAGGTGATGGATCCTTGACGAATCGAACCATCGTGTTCGATAAAGATCACTCGTCGTCGCCGACAAGTGATCCATGACGGATTTTGGTTGGCATCCATGCCTACTTCTCGGGAGCGAGACGCAACACACTGCGGTCCCGCTCTTCTTGCGACGTGCCGACAGAAGGAATGGCACCTCGTTGCGAAGTGGTGTCAATAGGAGAACCGACACCACTGTGAGTGCCCGAGTCTTGCGACCTCGAGCGCCTTTGCTTCGGCGATGGTTTATCTGATTCATCAGATGAACCAAAGATGCTGCGACGCATAGCATCATCCATGCCACGCTTGGCTGGCGACTTGGATTCGATCGCCGTCGATACGGATCCGTCTTCCGTATCAGGAGAGTATGAGACACCGAGCTCATACTCTGTGAAGACATGAGTGTCTTCATGACGAGCGCCTGCGTCACCAGGTGACACAGGCTGAGTCGCTTCAGCAACCGATGAGACATCAGTTGCAGTGGTTTCTGCTTCGGCGTCTGCACAGAGACGTGCAGACGCGCTCCCGGCGACCTTACTCGCGCACCGCATGGGCTTGTTAACCATGCGATGAACTGTTTGAAAGTGGACTCGGACCAACAAGTGCAAACCCTGTCCCAAATGGTTTGGGACGAGTATCCATTTAGTCAATCAGTGACTAAATGACTGATGGTTAATGGGGGGTGATTAAACGGGGTTATTCGTTACATAACAATTTATGAGAAATTGTTAATAGGTAAAAATAATGTAAAATTTAGATTCTTAGAATATTGTCATAAGGACAAATATTCTGTAGCACTTACGAATTGTAACGGGGCACCCTGAAGCTTGTACTGGTGACAGTACAAGCTACTTATTCTGATGACAGGATAAGGCGGTGCCTCGGAACTTCACGTACACTCGTACGTGCAGAGGAAGACGGTAAGAAGAAGCGAGTACTTGGTTAAAGTAAAAAGTAGAACTGTATTTAGTATAGTTAATGTCTGCAATAAATCACTATTTATCTTCATCTAACTATGTCTAAATACAAATGTGTAAATCAGTTATCTGCTCACCACTCATTGCGTGCGTCTGTCGTGGCGCGTCTTCGTTGGTTGATATAATGGCCTATATCAACCAATTAGGATTTACTCGTAAGTGCTACAGAATATTTGTCCTTATGACAATATTCTGAGAATATAACTCTTATAGTTATATTCTATTAACAATTTCTTATAAATTGTTATGTAACGATTCACCCCGTTACATCACCCCCCCTTAACCATCAGTCACTTTAGTGACTGATTGACTAAATGGATACTCGTCCCAAATCATTTGGGACAGGGTTTGCACTTGTTGGTTCGAGTCCACTCTCCAACATTTCATCGCATGGTAAACAAGCCCATGCGATGCGCGAGCAAGGCCGCCGAGACCGCGTCCGCACGTCTCTGTGCGGACGCCGAAGCAGAAACCACAGCAACTGATGTCTCATCGGTTGCCGAAGCGACCCAGCCTGTGTCACTTGGTGATACAGGCGCTGGTCATGAAGACACTCATGTCTTCACAGAGTATGAGCTCGGTGTCTCGTACTCTCCTGATACGGAAGACGGATCCGTATCGACGGCGATCGAATCCGAGCCGCCTGCCAAGCGTGGCATGGACGATGCTATGCGTCGTAGCATCTTTGGTTCATCTGATGAATCAGATGAACCATCGCCGAAGCAAAGGCGCTCGAGGTCGCAAGACTCGGGCACTCACAGTGGTGTCGGTTCTCCCATTGACACCACTTCGCAACGAGGTGCCATTCCTTCTGTCGGCACGTCGCAAGAAGAGCGGGACCGCAGTGTGTTGCGTCTCGCTCCCGAGAAGTAGGCATGGATGCCAACCAAAATCCGTCATGGATCACTTGTCGGCGACGACGAGTGATCTTTATCGAACACGGTTGTTTGATTCGTCAAGGATCCATCACCTTGACCCCATTGCGAAAACCTATCGCGCTGAGAATGAGTTCTTCATCGATGCTTTCTTTAAGCATCGGTGGTACAGTGGGAATCACAAGCGGGATGGTCCCTCACTGCTTCAAGCGTGAATCGCCTACATCCATAACCTCGAGGATGTAGGTCGTGACGCTTGGAACGACAAACTTATCAAAGCTCGTGATAAGTTTGAAAAGCGAGCCCCGACAGGTGCACGCTACAAGCTGCATCGTCTGTCAAGGGAGAAAGGATTACCCTGCCTCTCTTGGGGAGACTCGTGCCCATGTTGTGTGAACAACTCTGCACGAGCACCTAAGGAGGCTTACCTCCTTACCATCCCGTGGTGGCGCGTACGTGTCTCTACTGAGATGTACGAAGGGATTGACAACCTGAAATCCCTTTACGACCGTGCCGGGAAGACTTTCTCCGGCGGTCCTTCTGCGGCACAGGATGTGCCGCGTCGTACTGCTCAACCAGACCCAGTACGTCGATCATCAGTTGGGAGCGGGGCTCCCAAGAATCCCAGGACGGGGGATAGCCGCGCCACCGGACGAGATAACTCGTCCGACGTCCGTTCACGTCGCGGTGGTTCAACAGCTGCTCAACTAGATAGCGCTGGCCACCGCGAGAGTCCTCTAATGGAGGTGGAGGAGGAGGAAAGACGCTCTCCACACAATCGTGGGGAAGCGTGTGTTCCCGAGAGCTTCTTTGATCGCGTAACGCAAGGGTTACGCGACGATCTCGAACATGAGCGGAATAGGCGTCTCCAACTGGAGGACGCTGTCTCGAAGCATCGAGCTGAGTTTGCCTTTGCTCAGCTCGAGAACGAGAGAGCTCTGACGTCTCTGTGTGACGAGCTAAGGGTAGCTCGTGGGGATTGTTGATCGGTCTCGGGCTGAGATAACTGCTCTTCAGACCCTTGTTGATGCCCACCATCGGGAGCACAAGGCTCTCTGCGAGATGCTTGAGCGCAAGGGCGCTCTTCATCGGAAGAAGCAGCGTACTGATGGTACGGCTTTAGCCGACCAACGTAAAACGTGGGATGCGTTCACATCTTACGTGGTAACTCGATCGTGTATGCATTGCCTAGGCGGTGCAATACACGAAATGGGCCGATGTACTTGGGTAGTAGTTTACTGCTACCCAAGTTAGTCACTGCATGCTTTGGTAGGTTAACCGTAGACAGTAGGACTAAGTCACCTTTATTAAATGAAAGAGTGTTTGCCCTTCCATTCTTGTCAGCGTTTTGCTTTTGCTTATCCACCGCTTCGGCGATGGAGTCTAGCACAAAACGGACTACCGTTTCACGATCCAGTACGAACTCATCTGATGACTCGTTAGCTTCAGTGCGCTGTGAGTGCACTGCAGCAACATCAATCTTTTCTTCAGTGAGGGCTTCCAAACTCTCACTGGCATCATCTTCTTCGATATCGATGTTATCGATATCGGCATCAAACGCAATGACCTCTTCGTCAGAGCGTGATGAGCGTGAGCCAAATCGGTTTTTGCTCGCGCGAGTTCCCTCCTCCCCTTAAACCAGAGTTACACTCTAGTAAGGTGGGTACACTCGGATGGCGTAAGCCATTCACGTAAAACGGTGGATGGGTCGTGGACGCATGCACCGAGTTGTTATTGGCAAACTCTACCATTGGCAAGAACTCACTCCAACTCTTAAAGGAGTGTACGTATCCTCGAAGTATCTCTTCAAGGACACGATTGGCACGTTCCGTCTTACCATCTGACTCTGGATGATCAGATGTAGACATCTTCAAGCGCGTTCCGAGTGATTTGAACACGGAACGCCAGAAATCAGCAGTGAATCGTGGATCTCTGTCTGATACGAGTTCACGGGGCAACCCATGAAGTCGGAAGATGGTGTCGATAAAGATACAAGCACAGCCACTTGCCGTGATTGTCTCTGGTACAGCCACAAGGTGTACCATTTTGCTGAATCTGTCAACAAATACGAGAATGCCCGTATTCCCGCGTGCGTCTTTGGGTAACCCGAAGACGAAATCCATTGAGATGGATTCCCAGCACTCTGCCGGAACCGGTAGATGCTGTAAAGGTGCACGCAGTGAAGGACTTGACTTCACTCGTTGGCAGACTTCGCATGCGCGAACATACTTGCGCACAAACTGATACTGGCGGGGCCAGTAAAAGTCTCGACTTACCGTGAGATATGTTTTCTCCCGGCCACGATGTCCTCTTATAGGAGCATCGTGATACTCGAACATGATCCGCAAAAGCAGATCAGTATCATCTGGAATGACAACACGTGGTGTGTCACCAGAAACGGCTGTATAATACAGTAAACCGTTGCAAGTAGTGTATCGGCCTGATGTAGATCGATACGCAGACGATATCCGTTTCAACGATTCTCGAGATGGCTGTGCGAGGTGTGTCAACAACTTTACAATCTACCCTTGGGCATACGCCCTCCTCACATCATCATGTAACCTTAAAGATGGGACTGAGGACGTCATAACCGCAACAGTGGCTGCATTACTGTTGGGTTTCACGACTGGTTCAAAGTCGGGCTGACTTGAGAGTGAATCAGCGGTGACATTAAGTCGTCCTAGTTTGTACTCGACCGTAAAGTTGTATTCTGCAAAGAATGACAACCACCGCGCCATTCGTTGTGAAAGGTGCGGGCTGTTCACTGCCGTGCGTAACAACGCATGGTCTGTGTAAACAATGAAGGGTCTATCTCCTAATAGATAGACTCTGAACTTCGCGAGTGCATACTTCATGGCAAGGAGTTCCTTTTCATGCACTGGATAGTTCCGCTCAGCTGGTTGCAGCTGACGCGACTGATAGCAGACGACGCGTTCAACGCCTTCAAGATCGTACTGCATTAATGCACAGCCGATTGCGAAATCGCTGGCATCACAGACCACATGAAATGGCCTGTCCTGATCGGCTATTGCTAGGACTGGGGATTGTATCAAGCTCTGCTTGATACCATCAAAGTAGCGTTGACATTCAGCGTTCCATAACCACCTCTCGTTCTTTTTCAACAAACGAGAGAGTTGTACAGTCATCTCGGCGTAATTGCGTGAATACTTGTGCAAATACGCCGCTAGCCCGAGGAATTTTCGAAGACCTTTGACATCAACTGGCACAGGCCAGTCGGGGTGATCGCCTTGATCTTTTCGGGATCAGGACGTACACCGTTCTTACCAACGATGCACCCAAGAAGTGGTATTTCGCTTGCTGCAAAGATACACTTCTTGAGGTTTGCATACAATTGATGCTTTCGCATGATTGTAAGAACCTGTCGGACGTGGTACCTGTGAACCTCAACATCTGACTTTCCATCCATAGCTCGACTATGGATGAATACGTCATCGAAATAACTCGGCGCGAATTCTCGTACTGATCTCAACAAATGTGATACACATCTGTTGAACGTGGCAGGGGCATTACTAAGCCCTTGTGGCATTACTAGCCATTCCCAGAGCATGCCGCTAGGCGTGCTAACTGCGGTATAGGGTATGTCCCGTTCTCGCATAAGGATTTGATAGAAGCCATCCATCAAATCCATGGACGAAAAGATGGTACTCTTTGACATACCATCAATGATTACGTCCTTCCTCGGTATCGGCGTCTGAGCCGGTACCGTTGCAGCATTCAACTTGTTAAATGCATGAGCTATCCGCCACCCTCCTGTTGCTTTTCGCACACAGAAGGTCGGAGAGCTATGTGGGGAAGTTGATTCCCTCACATGGCCCGCAGCTAAACGATCGGCAAAGAACTTGTCGATCGCAAATACTTGTTCACGAGGCAGTGGCCACTGCTTCATGACACAGTACTTCGAGCCTGGTTTAAGCTCGACCTCGTGTCGAATACCTTTATCCTTCGGTAATTCGCACGGAACAGTTTCAGGGAATACATCCTTGAATTCAACCAAATCTTCATAGAGAGGATTTGTCTTGAGCGATTCCCATGATTGGGAGTCATATCGCTCAATTCGTGTCTTTTCATCTAGGACACTCTCGTCCATAGATGAACTACTGAGAGCTCTCTCGTTCTCAGTGAACACTGTTGCTGACTTATGTCGGCTACACACTCGTCGTCAGCGACGAGTACGCAGATCTGCTTGACTTTGCCACTGCGCAGATCACGCAAGAACCTTTTATGTTCGAGCGTTGGCAACTGAGTGATCTCCGAAGTCAACTTCGGAGGCGCAATCAGATCAAGTGTATAAGCGCCTACACTTGATCCATCATTGACTATGACATTCAATGTCTCTGTCATTTCCTGGGGACTTATTCCCTCAGGCCTCGAAGGACTTATTCCTTCGGCTTCCCGGGGACTTATTCCCGCGGGTTTCGGGGAACTTATTTCCGCCGTATTTGTAATATTGGGACTTATTCCCTTAATTTCCTCTAGCTGGGGTTGCGCAACCACAGCGAGATCCTCTACGAAAGACTCTCCAGTCGATCTAGGATTATCGTTTCGCTTAACCTGAGCGATCGATTGTTTCTCTTCTAGATGTTCCCCGCTAGGGATACATCTTTGTCCCGGTCCACTCGACTTATTCGAGTGATGGCCTTCGGCGCAGCCTGTGTTTCCTCACAGCCGCCGGAATCTTGCTCCGAAGTGTAAACGTTTGGTACACTAAGGTTTTGTGCAGTCGTACTAACGACCGTACCACAAGTGAGGCCATCGCACTCACTCGTAGTACATCCACACGCTTGTGGACGCTCCAAAACGTTCATCAGATGGCCATCTGATGAACAAGCGGCAGGCATCGTTACTGTTCGATGTTGCCAGTTTACTCGTGGTTCGTACCTTCTGAGCCACGGTATTCCAAGGATGACATCAAATTTTTCATCCACATCCAATACGATAAAGTCATCATCATATTGGGTATCTTCTAGCGTATAGTGAATCTTCACTATACGCTTCATGACGGTTACGGATGCGCCTGTCGCAAGACGTACCAACATCCTCGTAGGAGGTGTGTCACATTCACTGAACTTAAAATGACCATCTTCTATCGATTGGCGTCGCACAAAATTGTTGGAGGCCCCACAATCGACTAGAGCTCGAAGCGACAACTCATTTGTCACTTCGAGTTTCAAGGTAATGGGTGAGATCTCATTACCTAGAGCAGCAACGCACAACGTTTGTGTGTTGGGAGCAACCTTCATCAAGAGGCCTACAAAGTTTCTTGACGTTGCTGGACCAGTAGGGTGCTCCACACCTACTGATCCTGTCCGTTTTTTGACGGTCCATCCCTTTGTTGCGTCTTTGCACCAACAGCGGACCCGCGTCCCTGCCCCTTTCTCATGGGTGGACGGTCACTACGCCCAGTGTCGCGAGACACTGGACGAGGGGCACTACACTCGTAAGCGTAGTGTCCTGTCTTCTGACATCTGTTGCATTTCTGCAACTTCTTGTAGTCTGTAGAGCGAGCCTTCTCGCTCTCTACATAACAGAGTTCCATCGGCTCTGGACCTCCGCTGTCATATCGTCTCGGTTGACGATATGATGTCGAGCTGGCGCGAGCCTGTCTCAGACTGAAGTCTTCCTGTTCCGCAATGGAAATGGCTTGTTCTAGTGAATCTAGTTCAAGCCGGAACAGGTGAGTCTTGACGGGACCATCCGCAAGACCCTGCATGAACACCGAAATCAACGTGTGTTCGTCCACCGGATTGGAACTTATACAACTCGTAAGATGTCGTATATGTTGGGCGTAAGCGTGCACATCACGCTTACCCTGTTTGAGCTTCAAGAGTTCGGTTCGAGCCCTGAACTCAGCTCTAGGCGGTTCAAACTTTTGTCTGAGCCGCGACTTGAAGACTTCCAACGACCCAAACGCATATGGGTCGTGCAACTTGAGTCCCAAAGCCCAAGTCTTGGCACGTCCTGCCAG